CGAGCACCAGGGGTAGAAAACACAAAAAGGCATTAGTTTTACACAGCGACCGCAACCGCGGATACGGCCCGCGTTGTGTTAATCTAGAATTGAGTATCTGATGCGGTTTCTGCAGGGCGAGGGGAGGGGGAGGAGGAGGAGGTCGCTGTCAGGGAGTGTCACTGGGAGATGGATTAGGATGACCAGCCCTGCCCATCTGACGCCACCCTCGGCCGCGCCGTCGACATGGCAGTGCATAATCAGCTGCAGCTGCTTCTGCTGCACCCAAAGTCACGCAGGAGCTGCAGCTGCATGAAGAAGCACCTGGAGGATAGTACTGTACGCTCTGACAGCAAGGACTTACACATGCAATCATTCTTGGACTCTAAAATATGCTTAACCAAGCATCTAATCATCTAACCATCAAACGGGGTCACAAAACTTTTCTAGATCAGCCGTGAAATTGATACTATGATCATCAGGTTTTGTGACAATTACGATACATAGTCTCAACTTACAACTTGCGGTGAAAATCCAACAGTGTGGGGTGTAGGGTAACCTAGAGGAAATGTGTGTCCACTGAGGGGCCTGTGTTTTCAGATTATCAATCATTTAAATTTCTTCGTTTGAAAAGAAATCCATTGGATACAGTGAGCAAAAACCCGAAAAATAAAACAAAGAAGACTGACTGAATTTATACAAGATAACGTTCCCCGAATGCATTTTTCTTATTGATTGGTTGCTTTGCTCTTTCTTATCAATAGCTTCTAACGAGGCACTTCAAATTCAATACATAGTCACGAAAGCAGAGAGAGAGGGAGAAACGTAGGGGAACTATTATAACCTCTCAATCACTGCACTCTTGACGCCCACTGGCAGGTGTCGATCCGAAGACTACTTACCACATTGCGAAAAGGACAGGCAACGGACCAGAACGAGAAGAAAATAGATGCTGATTACACTTTTCCGAATCAAACGTCTGAAAGAAACGTGAGATTAGAGAGCAGCAGTACTACGTCCTCGGCGAGGTGCACAGGCTAAAATTAAAGAAAGGATACAAGTTTGAACAGAAGTACAGTAATGGAAGATTACTCACCAGACTTCATTGCAGATGATAAGGAATATTGTTCACAAAAGAAAAAATGAAAACAATTACATTTCTTCAAATTTAAAGACTCACACACGCGCGCGCGCGCTCCCGCGCAACCCAACCACTGCCACCGCCACCGGCTTGGGAAGCGTCTGTATGAAAAATTGTGAGGCCCTGGCTGGACCATTTTCCTCTGCCCCCGAGGCACGCCATCGGCCACTTAGCCAAATCTCAATTGCTATTTTGATGGAGTAGATTTGGTTTCGTTTTGGTTATTTGTATTTGAGTTGTTCTTGCGAAGAGTTAAGGAAATAGTGATGAGCTGTTGTGGATAGGGCGTTGTCTTCTTTTTCCAGTTTCCAGACTTGAATCTTAAGGTAAGTGTTTTGACAACATAACCCTTTAGATTGTAGTCTCTGTAGTTAACTCTGTCCCTTAATTTGTTTTTCAAGCACACCAAGCAAATCAGGCACAAGCTATTAGCCTACTTCAAATTAAGTTATTTAAATCATGGTTCCAATTTTTCTCTGTATGTTTTTTTCAAGGGTTTTTTGTCACCTTGAGCTGCAAGCGCTAGAGCTCATTACTCTAGACGAAGAGCTCTTGGTGTGATAACAGCTGATTATGATGTCAGCAATGTTCTACAGGGCCCTCCCCTTTTTCTGCAAGCTCATTTCAGCCATTGCGTGTTGATTGCAGGACGGACGCTGAGATGCCGCCCAGGCAGCACGCCCGCAGCATGGGTTGCCTACCCACCCGGCGCGTCTGCAGCGTCTGCAGCCTTGCCCCCCTTCCCCCTCGCCCCTTTCTCGGGCCGGCGCAGAAGGGGCGCCCAGGTGAGTGGACAGAGCTACTGTTCGGGCCGCGGGCGTTGCTTGGCGACAGAAGTGCAGGGCCTCATTTTTATTTCCGATCGCCTCCCGACTCCCCAAACCGTCCCCACCTCTGTCGCGTTTCGAATTTAATTTCCCACTAAATCCCTCCTTTGAACTAAATTCAAAGTGACTCTCCCGCCCTGCGCCACCCTCCCGCACCTTCTCGTGCAGGCAGATTAAGCCGTGGTGTGACTTTTTAACTTCTTAACACTAAGTGAAGCCGGGCGGGTTGTGGATGTGGAGAGTCATTCTGTCTGTGTGCCGGCAGGTCGGCAGGTGGTACACGGGACGCCGGCGTTTTCGCAACTCACCGCTCGACCGAGATTGCCAAGCGGCTCTGCTGCTCACCATGCTGCTCGTGGGCGACTCATCTCCGCTGCCGCCGGCCGCCGAGCAGGACGCGGTGAGTGCTGATGAGCGGCGATACTCCCCGCGCCCGCCTGGCCGCCCTACCCCGTGCCGGGGAGCGTGTTCGACGCCCTGCTCCTCCCCGCCCCGCCCCCGCGTCGCGTTCGTACGTTACTTCGCGTACGGTAGGTCACGGGCCCGGGCCCAACCCCGGCTCCGCAGCATCCTGGGGGAGGACGACGACGGCGTACCGTGTACCGCGTCCTGTCCTGCCACGGCGCGGTGACGGTGCCCCAGTCCGTGGACTGCAGTCGCGTCGTCGGGCAGGTGCTGCGCTTAGCTCATCCGGCTGCTAGCTGCTGCTAGCCGCCCGGCCCTCGGCCCGCGGCCGGCCACTCAACCACCTACGTGCTAATCAGCTGACGCGGAGCCGAGCAGCAGCAGCAGCAGCAGGACGACGACGACGACAACGCGCAGAAGCAGGGCCTCGACGGGAAGGACAGGGCCAAGGAGGGCCGTGACGACGCTAGTGGTAGTATTCGAGAGAAAGTGTTTCTCGTGCGTCGTGCGTGAGGGAAGAGAGGGAGCAGGTCCGCGAAGGTGTGACCCCGCAGCGGGGCGAGCACTGCGCCCGGAGAGGTGTATAGCAGTGCGGGGGTCGGCCGCCGGGCGCGGGTGGTAATCTTAGGCTGTTGGAGTGGCCGTATTGCGACACGCCCTTATTCTCTTTACTCCATCTCTCCCATCGTCTGGCTCCGATAACGCGGACCGAGGACCGGCGCGTCTCTGGCCCCCCGAGCCCAGCGCGCCTTGCCGCGTCGTCCTGTGTGTGGCGCCGGCGCCACCGTTATTGGATTGGGTCTCGCAGTGAATCCCCGGGCCCGGAAGTTAGGTGTGAAAAGCAGGAACCCGAAAAATAGCGGAAGCGGCCGTTGATTGCGAGCCGCGTTGGGTATGAGAAATTGATACCCTCGGGTGCGATTGAAGATCTCACGCTGAGCTCACGGATTGCAACTCGTGTTTTCGATATGTGGCCAAAAACTTTAGCCCTCCCGAAGATGGTTCAGATGGGGTTGGGCTGAAATTTTCGGTCATACCCGCCCGACTGCTTTTCTAGACCGCTGTCGTCATGGCTACGTTTTTCAAGTGAGCTCACCGAGAGCACTCCAATCGCTCTCTTGTCCACCTTGCTCCTGTCCTTTTTATTTGGTATTTCTCATACCTCGACGGAGCGCATTCAACTGTTGGTTCCACTACATATTTTTCATCCCATTTTTATACGTCTTACTTTCACCCCCGCGGGATTCACCAGACTTGCGTTTAGTTAGAGAGGTGCTTGGGGTGCTAGGGGGTCCTGAGCTGTCGGGAACGTTTTTCCCCACATATATTTCGCATGGGTTTCTAAGGCGGTGAGTCTCAGGACCCCTAGCACCCCCTAAACTAGACGCAATCTGAAATACAGCAGCAGGCCGAGGTCCGCGGCGGGCGGCATCGCGCGCCGCACAACCAAAACAAGGCGCCGGCGCCTATGCGCGCCACAGCCCACAAGTGTTTTCTGTATGCCATTAGCTCTTTGTGG